ATATAACAGCTTACATGCTTTAGAAGTCAGACACAAACTTCTCTTCCCTCCATTGCACACTATACTCCTTGAAATTCACTCCTTCCCTCTCTATCTCATCGCAAACAAAAAAATTAATAACTTAAAAAAGCTTAAAGGTATCATAAAGATACTTTTATATATGTGTATTCCTGTGTTTGTTTCTTACTTTGTTGTCTCCCTTTAGATTAATAGCCTTACTCACTAAAATAAAAAATTAAATAGTAAACCTTTTCCAACAGGGACCAACTCTTCTGTACTGAATTTGCTGTGTATTTCTTGAATGCTCTAAGCAGACGTAGGGATGTCACGGCATGTTGCCATATTCCACATGTGACACTTCCTTATCTGGGCAGAAGAGTTGTGAAGATAATCTAAAGCATTCTTATGAATAATAAAGTGATGTGTAATTATCTGAGTAGAGCAGCAGCAGGCATATTTGTCCGTAGTCTGGGGTGTTTTTATGTGATAGGGATTCACTTAGGGCATCATGGAGGGTCTTACTCTTCCCACATCTCTTTTTCCTGAGACAGAGCCAAGCTATCAAAAATACTGAGTACATGGAAATTCCTCTCCTAACACCCCTGTATAGATATTCCAGAAAGCTCAGGAGGACAGATTCCATCCTCTCCTCATCCTACTCCAGTATTCCCAAAGCATTTTCCTCCTCCCAGGATTCACCAGATACATGTAAACACTTTCCCCCCTGAAAATTCTCTGCTGAAGCAATCAGCTACTGGTTTGGCTCAGGTGTATGTTCTTCAATCTGAGATACCCATCTTGTCCAGCTCTTGATGCAGATCTGAAAAAAAAAAAAAAAAAAAGCTTCTGGGTTCTGAGTAGTTTTGAACCTGAGAACCAACTTAACTTTTGTAACCAGACATTCAGAGCAGGTATTGATGGTGGCCCTGCATTTGGCCAGATCTGCCTTTGGCTGTGTGTTTCTCTGAGGGTTCTGCCTCTCTCAAATGCACCTGTGAGATCTGCCAGGTCAGAGTTTGCATCATTCCTCAAATCTTCCTCATAGGAATGCAGAGGTATTTCCAACAGCAGCAAGGGAAAAGCTTTCGTGTCTTTGTTCATGGTTCTGCACTGCCTGCGATACGTGTATTGTGGCAGGCAGTGACATAATTTGTGGGGAAAATATCTTCACAGGAAGTAGGCAGTGTTGCTGATTTTCTTTTTTACATACACCACCCCCCCTTAGAAATTTCTGCAGTTGAAGCATTTCAGGTAGCAAGGTGTGGATTTGGTTTATTTGGTTGTTTATTTTTTGTTCTTTTGTTGCTGTTGTTGTTTTACACCCTCTGTTTTACTGATAGTTTAAATGTCATTTTATTCCAGCTTGTACGTGGACTTTTATATAAGCACAGTCACCTAGATAAAATAAGCTGCATATCTGTAAATTATTAATAGTGATAAATGCTGAGAAGGACAGAGGTTCATTTGGCTGTAAAATAAAGTGTAGTCGTTTCTGAATGATTTTACTTAAAAACCATGTAAGAAACAGACTTAATTAAAAAAAGAAAAAATCAAAAAGCCTACACTAAATTGGCTGAAACTGTCCTATTATGCTATGACTAGTTAAAGGCATGCTCAGAGGCAACCACATGAAGGCTAACCAATGGAAGTTTCATCCCTCAACAAATAGGAAAGGGTGGAACCTATTCAGGTAAAATTGTGGCCACTGAGGCAATGCATCAGGATAGACTGAAATAGTTTTGTGCTGAGAGCAGCGGTCTAGAAAATGCAGTGCAGGAATAAAATATTTTTGTACACTTATTTTTTAAATATTAATTATTGTTTCTTGTCATTTATCTCATCCTTTTTTAATTTATATTTTTGTTGTTTTATAATGTACATTATATATTGGTGTGGTAGTACATGTGTATACTTAAAAAAACATTTACATTATTAGGAGTGCTTGCTCAAAAAGATTTTACTGACAAGGTACATGATGAAAAGATGTGGAGACCACTGACATAGAGGGTGAGTATCATTATAATGCCCCAGTGCTATTCATGGTATTTGGGAGAAGTACATCTAGAAGGCTTTTTGTCTGTGAAAATCATACTACTGTGTCCTGTGCCACAAAAATATTAAAGAAAAATAAAGAAGGCAGAAATAAAACCAGGCAAACTGCATAGAGAGGTCTGAGGGGAATCAGAGGATTTTCTGCTCACTCAGGCTGTGTAAAATGCTCATAGATGGTACCTAAAACTAAAACTGCCCTTTTAATTATTGCAAAAAGAATATTTCTTGTGGGAGGTGGCATCTTGTAAGTTGAATCATAGTTTTGGGAAAAACAGGCAGAGACTTTTGAATGCCTTTTCAGATCTGAATCAATAACCCCTGTGTGAATGTGATATATGAAGAGGGTTTTGTTCTTTTTTCATCCTATGTCAGCTTCATTTAATACAGACAGTGCCACCTCCTACAAATGTTCACTTATTTCCTTAGATTGTGAGAACTAAAATTACAGACATTTTGTACTAAACTATTTAATTATTTTTTGCAACATATTGGGGTTTTGGTTTTGTTTGTTCTGTTTGCAGCACTCTGATGTTAAACTCTCTGGCAGTGCCTGAGAAGTGAGTAATGCTTGTGATCCAGGTCTGCTAGCACAGATACTTTTGCAAAAAGCAAGAACAGCATTTATGCTGTAGCCCTCAGTATTATTCCCTTTGTGCTTGTAAATTAAGCAAACTTTTACTTTTAAAACCTTCCCAACTGATGCTGTTCTGTAACTAAACAGATCAGCCGGCGGTTCTGCTGAGGCACATTGAGCAGGTGTGAGAGGAAGAGAAAAAAGAAAAAAGATAGTTGTTGCAAGGAATGACCACGTGCATTCACTTGTAATGTTTTTACTGGCTTACTCTTAGATATAGAAGGGTATTTTTCCAGCAAAAAAACCATCCAGGCAAAGTCTGTAGAGAGTATTTGATTATAAGTAAATAAAATGAAAATGCATCTCTTCACTCTGGATGCTTTTGAGCAGCTGCACATTTCACATTGATCAGGGCAGATTAAGAAAAAGAAGAGGTCACTGTAGCCTAATTTAATAATGCAAGTAGCAGTGGCTGCAAAGTTTTTCAGAATTGATTTTCATTTTTACGAAATTAGATCTTTTAGGAGAAAAACTGAAGATGTGCCAGTGTTAGATAATTCACTGCGCTTTACAGTAAATGGTTCAGACTCTGCTTTTACCACGGCTTAGAATACACAGGGATTTTTTTGAATTTTTTTTCTTTTAATGTTTTCTGGCTTCAAGCTGTGATAGCTTTTCCAGGTATACAGAAAGAAGTTCCTGGTTTTTTTCTTCCCTATTGCTACTACACATATTTTATAGTCTTGCAAGTCCTTAGTTCAATAACTTAGCTCCTTAAATAAACTCCTCTTCAATAAATAAAATTGGCTGACCTTGGTGATATATTTCATTGAGAGAGATTTTCTAATTGCTCAGTGGTTTTCATATCCCTTTTCAGGTTTATTTCTATTTTGTCAGCGTATCAAAACTAGACATGCTATTTCAGAGTCAGCAGCAATTCTAGATGTGATACCACATCTTTCCTCCTTGTGATTTCTCAGTTTGTACATCTGAGGTTACAGGAAAGTTGGGGTTTTTTGTGGGAGGGCCACTTCTTGGCAGTTGATACTTCACCAACATTTTTCCTTTTCATTTTTTGTTTCCCAGGATAAAATCTCAGGTCAGGTAAGTATAGACTCCAGTCTTTGCTTTTAAATTAATGAGCTCATCAATGACCTTATTGAAATGCATGTTTGCTTGCCCCAGCTGCAACACGATCAGGTCACCCTGTCCCAGTATCTTCTCCATGTCATTATTTACCCTTCCCTTGTGTCATCTGTGAGGTTTATCACCAATACTCTGCTTTCTTCCAAGTCACTGATAAATATGTCAAGTATTTAGAGTCCAGGATTAATCCCAGACAGACCCAAAATATGCCTTTGTAGACAGCTACATTATGAGGCGGTGGTGAGACAGCTTCACGTTCCAGAAAGTGGGGCATATAGACAGAAATTTCTTAAATCAAATGTAATTTCTGATTTTTTTTAAATTAAAAATTAATGTTGCATCAAACCCAAGAAGTTTCTTCTGTGACTGCTTTCACCTTTGCATTGTAGTTGCTAACCTGGCTGCAACAATGCTCCCTGGCTGTTTGGTGGAGGAGTTGGACGGGATAGTTCCCCAGAACTCCTCAGAGGTGTGAAAGCCTCAATGTTTCTGGGGTTTTTTTCTGAATATTTCCTTGTTTGGAGTTCTGTAAAACCAAGACTGGGTGGGCTGGTCTCTCAGCCATGGGAGTTGTTAACCACTTCTAAGAATCTCTGGTCATTTCCGTGGCTTCGTGCATTGGGGTGGAAGGAAACGGCCACTTTGGGGCATGGAGCCAGTGTTGCCAATTTTTGTAATTTTTCTCGATTTTTCCCCCCCTTACTTGGTGTTTTCTCGAGTCATTCAGCCAGGGTGTCATATCACCATTTTTTACAAGCAATCAAGAGAAACAGAAAGAACTAGAAAGGAGGGTGCAGCCAGGTGGGGATCAGACTCTTCTCCCAGGTAAACAGCGACAGGAGGGGAGGACACAGAGCCGGGGAGGTTCAGGCTGGCCACGAGCAAGAATTTCCCCACAGGACGGGCGAGGAGCCATGGGGAAGGGTGAGGAGCCATGGGGAAGGGCGAGGAGCCATGGGGAAGGGCGAGGAGCCATCGTGAAAGGACGAGAAGCCATGGGGAAGGGCGAGGAGCCATCGGGAAAGGACGAGGAGCCATCGGGAAGGACGAGGAGCCATGGGGAAGGGCGAGAAGCCATCGTGAAAGGACGAGGAGCCATCGTGAAAGGACGAGGAGCCATCGGGAAGGACGAAGAGCCATGGGGAAGGGCTGCCCAGGGCTGCTGAGGCCAGCGCCTCCGGAAGAGGGCGGCAGAACTACATCGCCCAGCGTGCCCCGCGCGGGCGGGCGCGGCGGGCGGAAGCGGGGCCGGGCCGGGTGCGAGGTGGCGGCGGCGGCGGCGGCGATGGGTGGTGGGTGCCGGGCCGGGCCGGGCCGGGCCGGGCCGGGCGGTGAGGGGATGTTGGGCGGAGACGGCAGATGGGGCTGAGGGCTCGGGCCGTTCCCCTGGGGTTTGCTGTCGGTCCACAGTTGCTGCCCCCCGCGCGGGGCTGCCGCCTGGGAGGCCCGAGACCCCCGGGGGCGGTCGCGCTCCGTGGGGATGCCCGGCCGGCCCGGCCCGGTGCTGGGCTGATCCTGCGGGACGGGTGCTCTTGGCCTGAGAGCTCTTCAAGTAATTTCCCCTCTCCATCTTAGCTTTATTTTTTTTTTTTTTCGTTAATGATAGCACTGGGAGATGTGTGTGAAGTAATTTAAGAGTAAAATGATGATGATGTCCAGCCATTCGGTTTGCTCTTTGCTTGTAGGTCACTTGTTATGAACTGGTGGTGTGGAAGAAGCTGAATGAATGGAAGAGTCAGGGCAGAAAGGAAGTTTGCGTTTCATGCTCTCCGCTGGCCACAGGACACAAACAATGCTGTGCATCTGAAGAGACCTGGAATCATCGGAGCTGTGTGTCCTGAGGGACTCTGACCATCTCTGAAGGTAAAAAAAGTATTTGGTAGCAATCTTTCCTAACGTTTTGTTTCCCTGATCCAGCTTGGTGTTGTTTCCAGCCCTCTCCCCATATTTGCACCCTCTTGCAGGCCTTCTAATCCCTTTCTGATTGCTGGCATGTTTCTTGAGAGAATGCCAGCGAATGCACCAGGGACTCTTTTGCGATGTCATGTAAAAGGAGTTTCTTAAATGTGGTGACCCACTGTTGGCTGAAAGGAGTGACCTCAGCAACAAGATAAAAATATGCATGTTTTTGTATTCTCTTCTGCCATGGTACAGTAACTTCTTACAAAGACTGTCCAGTGTTCAGTCTTAGAGTTGATTTTTTGCCAGAATACTTGTTTTTGTTCCGTTCTCTGTTTTTTCTTTCCCAACTCTACTGACTTATCTCCTTTGTTTTTCCCTTCTTTGAACTGCATGCAATTTAGTCATTCTCTTGAGTATTGCTTCCAGTTTGGCCTTTACCTTCATTTTTTTGAGCTTTTTTCAAAAATTTTCTTAAAATGTAAAAATTTTTATGTGTCTCACTTCTTTTAAAAAATTAATATAATTGCAGTATCTCATTAAGCACTTTTGCCTGCTTACAACTACTTAGTGTTATCTTAAATTCGTTGCATAGCTTAATTTCAGCTGTAATTTGTCTGAAATAGCATCTTCTGCTAGGCAAAAACAGAGCTATATGAACATACCTGTTAAAACAATGAAGGTTCTTGTTGACAGCCTGTGGATAAACAGCATTTTTATTTATTATCAATCTTTATGTCTTTATAATTAGTGTAATCTTTGGTAATAGTAATGCTATTTTTTTCATAAGTAAGTTTATTCTAAAGCACCTCCTACATGTTGTTCTGCACAGAATCTTTTGCAAAGCGTGGCATTAATCCCATAAACAGGCAGTGTGTTTCTTCATGGTCTTCTTTGGTCACTATTTCTTACTGACTGTGCTCACTGCTTCCTTTGAGCTCAGCCTGGGGCTGGCAGGATGGTTTTCTCTGTTAAAGGACACCTCATTTAAGGGAGAGCTAGTTTCCTGTAGATGAAGATGCAATGGATATGCACAGTGAATGGGCAGAGTAGTCAAGTCTTCTCCACTGACAGGAAAAACTGGTTCAAGCTTTGCATGAAGTGTTGTGGAGTTCTTCATCTTTTCTGTAAGCAGTTGAAGTGTTTGGCAGAAGCACTGAGGGGACCTTTGTTGTAAGGAATTGTAGGTCCACTCTTACTTTGCTTGTCACTGTCCTGCCCATACTGAAAGTAATTTTGGGACAAAGGCCACACACTCACTAGATTTTGGGGTCTGTAGCCCCCTTGGCTGTTCTCTACCAATGCCTGCAGTAACATTACAAGAACTGAGTGTCACTAGAACGCCATCTCCCATTTACCAAGTGGATAATGAACACAGGGCAAAGCTTTAATTTGCTGTTTGGTGATTAAGCCTTCATTTTGGTTAGGAACTGTTCTTGGTTGCCAGCTGACATCAGCTCTGCCGTGTTCACAGCACATCAGCTCACAGAAGGCTGGTCCAGCATGTGGTTGTTTTTTAATGGTGATCTGGTAGGGATAATGCCAGCAGCAGTGCTCTGCATGTGGCAGCAGGGACATTTAGCTTAAAGTAAGACTTTTGGGCCAGTTCTTTTCTTTCTCTGTCTTAGGTATAAATTTGATAGGGCTTTGTCATTGTCAGCATTTATATTGAAAGGTAGTGACAACAGATCAGTGGCCCTGATTACATTCCTTGTCACCAGACACTACTCTGAGGATGGAGCTTGTGAGTTCTTGTGATCCTTCCACCCAGAGAGAACCCTTCCTAAAGAGAGGAGTCTGTTGCAGAGAGTTCCTCTTGCAGTAGATGTGATTGCAGTATAGTGGAAGATCCAGACCAGCCTGCTCAGCAGCTTGTTCTGCTGCTTGCTCAGAGAGTGATCTGCTCAGCTCTGAACTCAGCTGGGCAGCAGCTTTGGCCCTGCAGTGCCACTTGCTCTGTTTGCTTCGGGGGCAGTGTGTGAAGGGGCAGGGATCCCTCAGTTGACTCGGGCTGAATGGTGAGGTCAGATCTATACAACAGCTTGCTCTCCCTATCCCATATCCTGTGTGCCTGGAGCAAGTCACTGGGATATAGAAAGAGAGTGGAAATACATAACCAGGGATTAAATACTGCACAGAGAATTTGCTTCCAAGTCTGGGCTTGATTCTATGTTTTCCACATAAATAAAACTGGATATGATATGTTCTCCCTCTCAATATTTCTATTATCTTATAAAAGTTCACAGTTTGTAGATTGTTATTTAAGTAAGTTGTGGTATGCAAACTTTGCAGTATTTTAAATGGATGTTTCTTGTTAGTTCACCACAAATCAGTTCTATTCCTTCTCATTGCTGAGGATGCAGTTCAAGGATGGATATTGCAGAGAGTGTGGCTCACTTAATATGGAAATGAAGCATAGGAAATTATATGGGAACACATAATTTCTCCTCCTTGCAAGCCAGTTTCAGACAAATAGAGGAGCAGATGGAGAGGAAAAGAAATAAGAATGGTGCTGTTAACAGCAAACATTGATGCCTTTGAAATTCCCTTCTTTAATTTGCAGTTTGTTTCTTAGTTCATAATTTCTTACTGACAAGTCTACTTGAGGCACTTCACTGTTTTTTCTTGTGAATGTTGAGCTTTAAGTCATTACTGTTTCCAGTTGCGGTTCCTTTAGTTGAAAGAAAGTAGAGCAAAATATTTTGATCAAAGTGTGTGGGAGAAGGGAGGAGACAAGCAAGAGACAAGCTGATTAGATAGTAGCTCCTACCACAGCCTACCTCTAGCTGCTGAGCTAGTTTCAATTTTTTTTTCCTGTCAAGTGCCTCAAGCCTGATTCATAGTAATCCATAAATTTAATCAAGCACAGAAAGCACATGAGAACAACTGGCATCTGAGAGGAGTCCTTTGGTGCATTGCAGCCACAAAGCATTTCTCTCATATTACAGTCAGTTACTCATTAAAATTATGGTATTGTCATAAGCATGTGTGATATTTGTGTTTTCCCCATGCCTCCTTTGACCCTGAATCTATGCCATTTGGGAGCACGACCCCACAAAGGATCCTAAGAGAGGGACACAGTGAAGAGGCCTTGTGGGAACATATGAAGGCCTTTCAGTTTTGTCCCATTGTTCCCATGAAACAGGGCACCCCCTGTGTTGTTCTAGGTCTTCAAAAATACCAGGTATATATTGTAGCATTATTGCAGCATTTACCATTATTTCCAAACCTGTCTTCCAGTGCTTCCTTCATGTTCTGTCTCTAGTGCCTAGATACATTTCTCTCTTCCCTAAAGGCATTCCAGCACCTTGGCATGGCTGCCCTTTGTTAGCAGCCTGGAAGGGCTTTTTCGGCATGCCTGTGGTTCTTATCTTTGCTGTAAACACAAGCTGTGAAAGCCGTATGTGGTGGCAGGATAAAAATAACTTCTGCTCTTGGTAATCTCTTAAGGAAAGCTAAGTCTTCTTCCTGGGCGTTGTGGAGGGAGTCTCTGACATTCCCTACAATCAGGATCACAAATGGCAGCAAGCTGTGTCATCTGCTTTGGGGATGAGTTGGTAGGGCGAGCAGCCAGTGCAGTGTGGCTGGGAGAGCACACTCTCCAGGATATCATCCCTACTTGGAACGGGCAGATCCAGTGGATGCTGGCCAGCACTCGGTGTTCCTTTGGTTCCAGCAGGTAGGAAAAGGAAGGCCTGCATATCCTGAGGGGACCGTGCAGCAGGGGGCTGATGAGTATGGCGCTGCTGGGATACCACTGTAGCGTTGCTCACTTGTCCCTGTGTCCCCGCCCAGGGCGCCATGATGGATAACCGGTTTGCCACAGCGCTGGTGATCGCCTGCGTGCTCAGCCTCATCTCCACCATCTACATGGCCGCCTCCATCGGCACCGACTTCTGGTACGAGTACCACACCCAGTCCCCGGCCGAGAACGTTAGTGAGGCCGGGAGGGGCATCTGGGAGGAGTTCGTCAGCAAAGATGCGGATGAGAAGACGTACACGGATGCGCTCTTCCGGTGCAACGGCACGGTTGGATTGTGGCGGAGGTGCATCACTGTACCCAAAAACTCTCACTGGTACAGCCCACCAGGTATCTCCAGAGCAATTATCACTTCCCTGGCTTCCCTGGGGTGCTGTGTGCTAACTTCCTCAGAACAGATTCATGCCACTTTGTTCCTCCAGAAGGCTTATTTCTAGCTTTTGTTTTGGTTGGTTGGGTTTTTAATAAAGACGGTCCAGATTTTTAAAGAAGCAAAGGGCAGAATGGTCTGTGGCTGTCAGTGCTGCAGTTTCTGGGTTTGACACATGATACTTGATCTAAATTTAGTCTTACGAGCTTGATTTTTGTTTTGTCTCAGCTGTCCAGTTGGGGATACCTTTATAGTTGCTCTACCAGTTACTGTCTTTTTAGGATAGATCCTGGGGTCTAGCAATGGAATAAAGACTACGTTATCGAGCAGGTGCTCATTCCTGTTAGCTAGTCATTCACTTGTTTCACGTCACAAATATCCCACCTTTGCATCAGCACACTTTGGAATCCTTGAATGGATATAGAGTGAAATATTTGTATTATTTTTTCAAATCATTGAGCGATAAAATGTGTGGCAAACAATTATTTTAATTGCTTCAAAGTTAATTTTGAGTACTTGCTATATGTGTGAACTCCTTCATTTTGAACCTTCTTGAAGACGTACTTTAACTACATTTTGTGGAGAAAAAAACATGCATGAAATACTTTTTTTTTCCTCTCTCATGAAAATACTTATTTTGGAAGACAAACCAGTTCTGCTCAATAGTATTCTCAAGGTAAAATTTGAGCTAGAAACTTAGTGTAAAGAAGCAAGTCCTTCATGTTCTTTAAATAGGCCTTTCTGTCCCATTTTTGATTTAACTGTTAGTACGAGACCACATCCTGCATATGGAGATAAGCAGACCTTAGTTAAGGGACCCTGAGCTCAAGACTATGTGACAACATAGTTCAGCATCATATGCCACCACATTACTTTGCCAGTATGTTACACATGGCACAATTATCTGTGGATAATCCATAGAAGCTTGAAGATTCTGCATGTTAGAATGCTTATCCCTTAGTGTAGTACCTCATAACAGACACATTGTGTCAACTGCATCATAGGAAAACATGTACAGGTCTGTTTGGAAAAGTAATTTTTTTTTTTTACAAATGGAATCTGAGGAACTTCCTAGCTCAAATTATTGGGAAAGGAGGATTTGAAAGGGGGGAAGGAGGGTTGAGGGGAGACACCTAATGGCAACTTCTTCTTTTTTTCCACCCCTAGAAACTGATATGACTACAAACTGCATCAGTTTCTCCCTCTCTGATCAGTTTGCAGAAAAGTACATAGAGCCTGGAAATCACAACAGTGGCACGGATTTGAATCGGACTTGTAAGTGTCTTTCACTTCTGGTAGATAAACAAGTAGAATTAAAAAAAGTTGTTTCTCAAATTCAGTCACTAGTGAGGAAAGATTCTGTCTCTCTTGGTCTTGCTCACCATTTATTGTTTTTTACAGTTGTGCAGGCAGTAGGTCGAAGTTTAAAAGGAAAACATAGATGTGTTAGCAAGAGTTTTGCCTGTGAACGCAGGGATTTGTGAGTTACCAAATTAGGTTCTTTCTATTTCAATGGAATCTTTGGTCCCTTTTGACTATGTAGAATGTAGAATGTCTGATGAAGCAGGAACAGCAGCATAGAAGGGAATGTTAAGATTGTGGGAGAAGATCTTTTTCCAGCCCATTTCCAGCCGACGTGACTGGTGTGTTTTGTTCCCATGCAGATCTCTGGCGGTTGCAGTTTCTCCTGCCCTTTGTCAGCATCGGCCTCATGTGCTTTGGGGCTCTGATTGGGCTCTGTGCTTGTGCCTGTCGCAGCCTTTACCCAGCCATTGCCACTGGAGTCCTGCATTTCCTAGCAGGTAAGTGTCCTGCCATCCTCCTTCAGAAGCACAAGAGCAGCCCTGGAGCTCCGTGGGTGAGCTCACTGTGCTTTGCTGCTTCTCTCCCCAGGGCTGTGCACGCTGGGCCTCGTTGGATGCTATGTGGCTGGGATTGAGCTGCTCCATAGGAAGCTGCCTCTGCCCGAGGATGTGAAGGGTGAATTCGGCTGGTCCTTCTGCCTCGCCTGTGTGTCAGCACCTTTGCAGTTCATGGCAGCTGCTCTTTTCATCTGGGCAGCTCGCACCAACAGGAAGGAATTCACCCTGCTGAAAGCCTACCGTGTGGCTTAAGAGCAGCTTAAGAGCTGCTGCTGCAGTCTGGGCTCTCTGTGTTAGAACCACTTCTCCCCCAGCCCTTACTACTTTTTTCTTTCAGTCAGAATTTTATCATGTTACTGCATGCTTCTTGCCAGTCAAGACAATTTAGCCTGCAGGCCCTGAAGACAAAGACCTCTGGGCTAAATGACCAAAGCCTGCCAGAAGTCTGCAGAACTTGAACAGGTTTTTTAATTGGGTTTTTTTTAAGAATTGTGATTATTTTTTAAGCTACCTTTGGTTCTTGACAGTTCCCCTTAGTTAGATGTACATGCCCCTTCCTAATTTTATTACCCTGTCAGCCTGGAGGAAATAGAAGTGGTGTTGCGTGTTGTGGGGTGGAAGAGAGACAAGAGAAGGTGCAGGTACGAAAGAATGGGAACCTCAGTGCACAAATAATACATAATCAGGAGCTGTCTGCTGTGTGACTGAAGCAGGCAGTACCTACAGGGAGCACCCAAGAGACATGAGGGAATTCAGAAACCTCTGTTATGGAAATACTGTAGCTGAATTAGTCTGTAGCTGGGCTCTGGATCTCCTGTTATCACTAGTTTGCTGCATTTTGTGGCATCTGCCAAAACTGCTGGAGGCATAGCAGGCAGCTGGGGCACTGCCTGTACAGCACACCCTCCTGAAGGCACACTCTGGACTTGCTTCTACCAAGGAGTGGGATTAGATGGCCCTCATGGAGCTCTGTCCTGCTGTAGCTCCACTGCTTCCAGGACCCAGGCTAATTTGGTATCTGCACTACATGTGATTGTGCACTCTAATCTTAATTTGTGGTGCTTTTGCTTGATGTGGAATAAGGCTTTCTTCTCTCTTGCTGAAAATGACCTCCTCACAAGTTTTTTGGTTTTAATTTGGTTTAGTGTATGTGTGTATATGTACATATATAAACTTAACTTTTCTTAAACCTCACCTGTTTATCCTGTATAGCACACAAAAGGGTTTTTTAAAAGGTGCTGCTCTTTTCCCCTCTTGTTTAAATTAAATAGTAATAATAAAGACTCAGAAATTTTCAGCATTGCATGAATCTGATGGGAGGGTGAGGGAATGGTCTAGAGTGGATTTTGCTTGGGGAAGGAAGAACCAGTGTCTAGATCTGTTTTCATGGAAATGTCACCAGAAACAATGACTTTAGATCAGATATTTTAAATTAAAATCACTGCAACTCTAGCCAGACTAGGTGACATACCATATCTAGAAAACAATGTTCCAAGACTGAAGTGTTTACTTCTGAGGCCTTGGCTCACCTTGTTTCCTTACTTCCGGCTTAATAAATGAAGTGTGCCTTAGGAGAAGTAATTCCTGACAAAACAAGGGATGGCAAGGATTCTGCGAGATACTGGTTGATGAGCATGACACAGAAGAAAGCATTTTTATCTCATGGCTGTTTTCTATTGTGCCTTCTTGCTTTTTGTTTTCCTTGTAGGTGTTTCTACCCAAGCTATGTTTGCTGGATCAGCAAACAGCCCTAGTCAAGATTTCCCTGAAGCTCGGGTATAACTGCTTGTGTAATTTCTTTAATTTTTTTTTCTCAAGTCTGTGATAGGGTTCTATTATTATCACTGTTTAAGCCTTTACAAAGTAAAACAGAGATGATGAAAACCAGAATCACTGAAAAAGCAGTGGCAGGCCATTCAAGATAATCCTCTTTCTCCTGCTGTTGAGTAGTTTTTTATTTTTCTTCCTTAAACAGTCTCTTTCCTTCCCTACAATGTCTGGGTCAGTTGTAAGCTTGTGAGAAGAGGTGTGGTACTTTTGTGCAGTATCTGAGAGTAAATGAAAATCTGTGCTGCCTGATCTGTACTGATAGGCTGTTTTTTCAGAGTAATTATCCTGACTTAGATAAGGCCTAACAGCTCAGCTTGTCATGTTCCTCATTTTTCAGAATTACTAGGGCACACAAGCCTCAGCGTGGGTCAAAAGGACTGCAGTTGCTATTCTGCAGTTTGGGAGGAAACACTGCTGCTGATTTTATCTAGTACACTTTATGGGGTTTTTTTTCTTTTTTTTTTTTTTCAGGAGCTGGCAGAATAATTGTATTGTGTGATTTTAATCTGAGCAATGAAAATCCCATGCCCTCACTCTCCTTTTGTATGGGACACTTACTTTTCTGAAATGTAAATCTCAGTTTTCAAATTTTGGCTTTCTTGCTTTCTGTCTATAACAGAAGACTTGTTATAGACAGAAAAGGGGATGTTAGAGGTGCTGTCAGTTCTCTCTTCATAATTTTAAATACTAGCAAAACTAAGATTGCCTGCTTGTGTGTGTGTCTGAGACAAAAGAGGCTTTAATTGAGCCTTGATTTGGATCATTTTAACTAAAATGAGAGTTGCTTTTCCAATTTGGTGGGGGTTATTTTCTGTTTTGCCTTTTTGTAAAAATTTCTTCATCAGAGTGGATCTTGGTGAGAGGCAAATCTCTCCCAGAAGGAGGGCTGGCCCTCTCTCTTTGGGGTGGTGGATGTGTGTATTGCTGTCTTGCTTGGTAACTGTGTGTTTTGCTCAAGGTGAGCAGAAGGGAGCTCTTAAGAGTTCTTGGACTGCTGGCTTGGGTCCAATAAATGCCATTGGAGGAAGGAACAACAGAGGAGATACTGAAGATGGAGTAATTCTGTAAAAGAGGTGATTAAGCACATTAACAAATAATGAGACCCAGAGTGTGTGACACAGGCCCTTCACACTGACATGACTTGTTCAGAGGCTCTCTTCAAGAGGAACTTGAGACATGTGTGTATGTTTGTGGTCATGTACATGTGTGCAAGTGCAGACACCCTTGCTCAAAAAAGGAAAAATTGCTTCAACTCAGGAGGATAAAAGGCTGTATTTGTATTCCTCAATCTTTTGTGGTCTGACCATGGAATATGTTTGCTGATACTGGTTCAGTGATGAAGGTAGGGATGGGGCAAGTATAGTCAGATGAAAATAGGAGAAAAAAGGGGCTATTACATGTCTGTGTGCACAGGGAAAATAGCACACACCTCTGACACTGTTGTATGGGTTGGTGAAAGTGAATAGAACCAGTACCAAAGGAAAAGGAAAACAAGAGGAGGAATCTGGAATGAATGTAAGAACTGAGGACTCTTGGCACTAGATGGGAACAAGCTCCCAGGACTCCAGCATGATCCCCATATGGAATTGTGTAGCCAGGATTGCCAAGGCCAGCTGCTGCTCCTGCACCACTCACAGCACTGTCACAGTGGTGACTTAAGTGGGTGAATTGTCCTCTTGTGCTTATGAGAAGCTCCCAAAGGTTCTCTCCCCAAATCTGAGGTCAGGAAGCTGCATTTCAAACAGGCCACTGTAGTTGTTTCTTCCTCACAGGCTTGGGTTTGTTTTGCTGCCAACTCTGAAATGTCTGGGAAAGCAGGACTAGCAGAAAGCTTCACAGATCAATTAAGTTTTAGTCTAGGTAACAGCCTCTTTTTTTTTTTTTCTTTTGTTTCCTTCAAATGGATGTTTTCCCTATTGTCTCCCCATGCTCCAGCACTTCTGAGGAGGAACTGATCACTGAAGTTGCAAAGAGGGGTTTTATTACTGTGTCTGTAAGGACAGCTCCTGCTGGTTTTAGAGATGGCTGAAAACAGAAGAGTCAATCCCATTTCCTTAGTTTAATAAAAAAGTAAGGAAATAAAAAGCAGTATAGAGCAGACACAAAATACTGGTTTGTTGTGAAAAGAGGACAGTATGTCACATACAGAAGTAATGATATATTTTGGGTGCAAGTAGTAGGAGAATCTGGGATGACCCAAAAGGCCTTTCTAAATCTTGTCATGCCAGAAACTGTCTTGATCTGGTTTTCCTTCTGGATCATGCTGGCCTAGTGATCTTTCCTCAGAGCAGGTCTGTTGCAGTCTTTTTGCTATGGTGATAATGAATGCCTCCTCTCTCCTCATGTGAAATGCTCTAAAGTATTTTTTGAGAAGGATGTTTGGATTTTGGTTGGAGTTTTGTTTTGTTTTGTTTTCGTCTGATTTTTGCTGCATAGGGCTGGCACCAAGTTGTGTACCAGCTTGCAGTCAGTCTCTTGCAGTGCTGTTCTGTGATCCAAGGCAATGACTTCTGAAAATCTCTCTCCTACTTTCTAGCATTGTGTGTACTCAGCCAGCACCTGTTATTCAAAGGAAAATTCTGAAATGTCAGCAGCTTGTTATCATCACATCTCAGACTGACTATCCACGCACTATTTGTGTGTATTTCCTGCTTGAGTGGATTGTGTGTCTCAACTGAGAGGACAATATCTTGAAGCTGCTTTTTTCTTTCTCATTTCCTCGGGAATAGCTAGAGTTTGTGCTATAGAACTTTATAAACTGGTTTTAAATAGGAAAGGATCAAAAATTTGCATGCTTGCTTTTAACTTTCCTATTGCTGTAGAATATTGCCCTAACTTTTTAAACTGTGGCTTTCAGGACTATAGAGTGACAAATGAAGCCTTTGTTCAGGTCATGGTTCAGATATATGGCAGTGGAAGAGTGAATCCTCCATAACTGGAAGATTGCATAGGTGTCTGTTGTGGCAATAACAGCCATATGCAAAATTACCACTTAACAAGCACTTGTCTGCCTACTGCTACATGCCAAGCCTTTGTACAAACCAATGAGCACTGAAAAAAAAACGTGAAAGTAATAATATATTCCACTCCTTTGTCTCCTCCTTCCTTCTAAATTTACCCCTTTTAAAAATAGCCGCAAGGGACAGTGTTTTATTTATTCCTCAGGTTAGAGCCATGAGTGTCAGATGTCTCTGCTCTGTGCTTTCTGTGTACAGACAAGGGTAAAGATAATGCCTGATTTTTGTAGGGGATCCAAGCATTGGGTTTCCTGAGGCGAAGACTGAAAATCTTCACAGAAGCTAGAACCTTTTGTTTAATGAGAATTGTTACTTAATCAGAATCCTCTTTAAAAAAGGTAGGGATTTTTTTAATAGTTTTTGTTTTCACCCACCTTTCTCACATCTTTCATGTGCCTCTTTTAAAG